TATGTCTTTACTTTAGGCTTATTATACCAACACTCACTACACTTATAAGGTTTCACAGCACCCCCTCACGACCCCCTTGAATCCCCGTCACTAAAATCGTAATGGGCGGACAATAATCGAACTATTCTATCTGGATAAATGCACTTTGGCTTTTATGACTCCTCCTAATTCCAGAAATCAAGCGCGACGTAACGTGACACACAATGGCTTTCATATAGGTTAGGTAACGTCTCAATCACCACTGTATCTGTCATATCCCAATAGTCTGATGAGCTCTGTTATTGAACGAAAGGCTTCATCGGCACTGAATTTAGATATTGTGTGGTTGTATACCAATATGTCATTCTTCTTCACATTCAGCTCTTGGAATGATATTTAAGCACTGCCAAGTTACATGCCTAATTGTAGAACAGAAAACAACCTGGATGACATATTGTTGCGTCAGCGAGTCACATGACTAGTGTGACGCCACGTTTCTAGAACTATCCCGTACCTTGGCGAATGCTCTAGTATTTACTAGATATAGGGTAGTCTGGTATATAAAAGAGGGTGACAACGTGACGGGAGAATATTGTAATGTGTGTGTAGGTAATGAGTAATTGAACTGCAGTCAGAGAGAGACGTATTGTTGAAGTTAACGTTCGTTCGTTATAGTGTTTGTTTTAGCGCGAATATTGAAATTAAGTGTATCGTAAAGTTGTATTCGGAAAGAATAAACCAGTTTTATTAAGTAAGGATTTGTGTCGCTAAAGTTTCGTCGGAACGAAGTTACGGAAAGTTAATTAACAAACGGAGACGTAACAATATGATTGAAATACGAGATATTTAAGTTGAAAGTTGGCATGAAGTTATAGGTTGACAGCTTACCATGTGTTTTCATAGTTAAGTATTTTTTACTGTTTAAGCTAGATGTTGAGTTTACTTTTACACTTAATTTAACGGTTTTACTTTCCAATTACACAAGGTGTTCGTTGTCTGTGGTCAAATCTTAATGCATTCTTAAATTCTGATCTTAAAATGCAATTACGTGTGATATCAATTAATAGTTATGACAGCAGCTGCGAGTGTGAGCATACAGTTACAACTTAAACACCCAAAATGACCACTTACTTCATAATTGTGAAATAGTATTAACAATAGTAAAGTTAAAATGGTACTAACCAGCAGTTCCATTTTCTGTTACATTACCAATGCAAATAGCATTAGGGAAAAATGGGGAGTTGTCGTTAACATCTTTCAAGTTGACAAGAACGTCGGCGAAGCCTACTAAGCCGTAACCGCCTTCGTCTTCGGCAAACACGGTAAATAGCCACTGGGACCGACCGTTTGGCAAGTCTCGGTCTAAAGGTTTAAGCACGTAAATTTCTCCTGTGGTGGAATTGATAGCAAATTTCTTATTAGAAAGCTCATCGTCATCAATTCTTTCGCCAGCCAAGGAATAAACTATATCTGGACGTCGATCTCTATCTCCATCAGTGGCTGTAACCTAAATAAGAATTTAAAAAGCATGTCGATATTTTTGACCTTAATTAAAACGTTAAAATTTTTCACATGTAGTACTATTTACGCTATCAATAAATAATATTTAAGAACTAAGCACAAGGGATACTTCGTCTTGATGGTTACCAGAATGCTTAATAATATAATATAATATTTCTATAGGGTTTAACTGTCTTAAATAATTTTAGAATAAACTTATTCAAAATCATAAGCGACGTATATTAATGTCATTTTAAGTGATAGTTTGATATATTTTCCTTTTATTTACACTATAAAATATTTTCATTTTTGAAATATGTTTCAACTAATTTATCGCACAATTTACTTTAATTTGTTAATATGTAGAGTATTAATGTGCCAAGATGTTTTAAATAGTTTACTTTCATAAATAGGCAACAGGAATAAAATATAAGCTCAACAAATAAATCGTCCATAAAAATATAAACATTTCACTCATAAGTTCTAAAAAGTATACTAACTTAAATATTAGATTATAGAAAATTCGGAAAATACAATTTTTTTTTCTAGTAATATAGCTTTTAGTCTTATTTGTGCCTTTATACATATTGTTAAGATAGCGGAAGTCAAGCGACGCTGAGAGCATGCGTGCTGGAGTTTCTAGAAGGATCGTGACTTAGCGGGCAACGTCACGAACGTTCCAGCGTTTGCTAGACGCCCTCTTTTTTTAGCTTATAAGTCGGAGATAGATATAGAGACAGATAATGGAGTCAAGCGAGCAGTAGGCACCGTAAGTAACGTGT